TGAGTAGCTGGGATTACAGGCATGCGCCACCATGCCCAGCTAATTTTTTATATTTTTAGTAGAGACGGGGTTTCACCATGTTGACCAGGATGGTCTTGATCTCTTGACCTTGTGATCCACCCGCCTTGGCCTCCCAAAGTGCTGGGATTACAGGCGTGAGCCACCGTGCCCGGCTGGAATTTATCTTTATCTTAAAAACAAACGTATTCAAAATAAAGTTTTAATATATTAACATGGATAAATACATTATCTTGGCAGGTGTGGTGGCTCACACCTGTAATCCCAGCACTTTGGGAGGCTGAGGCGGGTGGATCACCTGAGGTCAGGAATTCGAGATCAGCCTGATCAACATGGTGAAACCCCATCTCTACTAAAAAATACTAGATTAGCTGGGCATGGTGGTGAATGGTTGTAATCCCAGCTACTCTGGGGGCTGAGCAGGAGAATCACTTGAACCCAAGAGGTGGAGGTTGCGGTGAGCCGAGATCACACCAGTCTGGGCAACAATAGCAAAACTCCATCTCAAAAAAACAAAAGAAAAAAAAGAAAAACACATTATCTCACAATCTGATTTACAGTATTATCATCTAAATTTTAAAGTAATACAATCATAGTAAAAAGGATTTGTTTACAGTGTCTTTTAATGTAGAATTCCCAACATATACTTTACAATCCTAAGATCTGGCTGGGCACAGTGTCTTAACATCTGTAATCTGTAATCCCAGCACCTTGGGAGGCTGAGGGGGGTGGATCACCTGAGGTCAGTAGTTGGAGACCAGTCTGGCCAACACGGCAAAACCATGTCTCTACTAAAACTACAAAATGAGCCTGGCGTGGTGGTGTATGCCTATAATCTCAGCCATTCGGAAGGCTGAGGCAGGAAAATTCCTTGAATCTGGGAGGCAGAGGTTGCAGTGAGCCAAGATCGTGACACTGCACTCCAGCCTGGGCAACAGACTCAGGCTTCATTCATTCATTTGTTCGTTCATTCATTTATTGAGGCTCCGTTTGAAAAAAACAATCCTAAGATCTTAAGCATATGTACATACACAAACTCCTTCATGCATGTATTCACATGTGGCCTCTTACCATAATGTGAGATTTCACTTTTCCCTTCTGAATTATGAAAGTACCTCCCATTCCTATAGGCTTATTTCCATAATGTTTTTCCAGGGTCTGTCTCATACAAGTCACAAAGTTAAGTGGTCCAGTTCTTCTTTTGGCTTTCACCTCAATTACCTTGCCAGGTTGCCCCTCACTGGCAAAAAGATTAGCCAGTAATGCACACTCAAAATCATGACGTTTCTCACTGTATTTCTCCAGTAGGCACCCTCCATCTGCAGAGTTCACATGAGCAAAATAACTTCCATTCACAGGAGGCTTGTGTTCACTTTTTGTCTGAATAACTGGCATAAACTCAGAATTGAACCCGAGAGTTTGAAATGGACCTGCTCCTGCTCCAAGAATAAAAGCTCCAGGTAGCTTGATTTCTTTTGCAATTTTATTCAGATCATAAACTTTTTTTTGGTTTACAAGAGGCAATAAGTAAGGCACACCTCCTACTTCTGCAATTCTAGTTTTCCCACAGATGCCTTTTACAGGAAAGGTAAAGGGTTCCTTAGTCAAATCAGGGCAATCAACTACAGAGACCTGGACATCAGCAAAGTTATCTTTTAACCCCATCTGCATAACTCCAGCAAGCTCTTCTAGACTTGGCACATGAAAAGAAAACTCAATACAAGCCATTTTCTTTCTTCTTTAGGTATTCGATTGGACAAATAGAGCTACTCTTGGTTAATTATCACAAGAGTCCACAGTGCACCAAGTACGAACAGCTTCTGTTCGAATGGGTCACGGAAGACCACACCAGAGTCCTGATCTTCCACTTACAGGAATTTAAATAGAGTGACATGGCGGGGTGCAGTGGCTCACACCTGTAATCCCAACACTTTGGAATGCCGAGGCAGGTACGTTGCTTGAGGCCAGGAGTTTGAGACCATCCTGGTCAACATAGTGAGATCTTGTCTCTACAGGAAATTTTTTTTTTTAAGTCAGCCAGGTGCAGTGGCATGTACCTGGAGTCCCAGCCACTTGGGAGGCTGAGGCAAGAGGATCACTGAAGCCCAGAAGTTTAAGGCTGCAGTGAACTATGATCATGCCACTGCACTCCAGCTTGGGCAGCAGAGTGAGACCCTATCTCTAAAACAAAGTGAGGTGTGCACTGTAAAGACGTGCTCTAACAAAGATTCCCTAAACTAGTCTTATAGAAGGCTTCCGAGAAAAAACTGGGCCCGTAGGGCAAATAGCTGCCAGTCAGACATAAAGTAACCAAATGAAGAGCTTTCTGTAGATGATGTACAATCCCTTTTAATGGGCTACAGTTGTCTTTCCAAACAGGCTATGACCCAGCAGCTGATTCTTGCTAAGCTTGCAATGATCTTGCAATGATCAATACTGACAGCCACTCCATTACCGTACCCACAGTTTAGAAGGTAGTTTGTATTTTTCCTTCTTTTCCTTTTACCGCACTCTTTACTCCCTTCCAGAGTCTAGAGTAAGGGAAAAGAAATGTGTGTGGATCAAGAAGTCTGATTATGTACCAAGAGTAGATTTGGGGAAAGTTCAGACTGGTTGTATCCAGATGGATCTAAACAGTCAGTATGTGGTCCTAGGCCTTGGTCCTGGCAGAGAGGTGGCGCAGGGCAAGGGAGCTTCCCCAGTGATCAGTGGTCTCTGGGGAACCCGTTTGACTTTGTCACTCTCAGACCTCATCAGATCCAGGCAGCTGTAGGTCTGCTGCTTCTGCCCTGAACCCAAGCTCTTAAGTTTTTGTTTACTTTCGAGATGAGACTGTATTTGATTATAAGTAACAGAAACCAACTAGAGCCAGCTTAAGCACAAAAGGATAACTCAGAGGACAGGTAAGGATTTTTGTTTTGCATCCAGTGGCAGGAAAGCAGCAATGTCTGAGGAAGATATCAAAGTCATACACTAGAAGGTGTCAGGAATCCCCAGTCCACATGATAATAAATAAATAGTGCTCAGGTGTGGTGGCTCACGCCTGTAATCTCAGTACTATGGGAGGCCAAGGCAGGTGGATTGCCTGAGGTCAGGAGTTCAAGACCAGCCTGGCCAACATGGTGAAACCCCATCTCTACTAAAAATACAAAATTAGCCAGGCGTGATGGTGGGCACCTGTAATCCTAGCTACTCGGGAGACTGAGACAAGAGAATTGCTTGAACCTGGGAGGTAGAGGTTGCAGTAAGCCAAGATTGCACCATTGCACTCTAGCCTGTGTGACAAAAGCGAGACTCTGGCTCAAAAAATAGATAGATAGATGATAGATAGATAGATAGATAGACAGCAAATATACTAAAATTGGAATAATACCGAGAATATTAGCATGGCCCCTGCATAAAATAAAAATGTTTTTAATTAAAAAAAGATAAATAATTTGTAAAAGGCCAGGCACAGTAGCTCACATGTTATCCTAGCACTTTGAGAAACTGAAGTGGGAGGAAGAGTTGAGGCCAGCCTGGGTAACATAATAAGATCCTGTCTCTACCAAAAATGGAAAAGTTACCCGGGTGTGGTGCCTCGTGCCTGTAGTCCTAGCTACTCGGGAGGCAAAGGTGGGAGAATCGCTTGAGCCCTGAAGCTCGAGACTGTAGCAAGCCATGATGGTGCCACTGCACTCCAGCCTGGGAGACAGTGTCCCTAAAAAATAAATAAAAGGGCCAGCGCGGTGGTTCACACCTGTAATGCCAGCACTTTGGGAGGCAGAGGAGGGGGGATCACGAGGTCAGGAGATCGAGACCATCCTGGCCAACATGGTGAAATCCCATCTCTACTAAAAATACAAAACTTAGCTGGGCGTGGTGGCAGGTGCCTGTAATCCCAGCTACTCAGGAGGCTGAGGCAGGAGAATTGCTTGAGCCAGGAAGGCAGAGGTTGTAGTGGGCCGAGATGGTGCTACTGCACTTCAGCCTGGCAACAGAGAAAGACTCCGTCTCAAAAAATAATAATAACTAAAATAAATAAGTAAATGAATAAAAATAACTTCTCAAAAAAGGATATACACGTGACCAACAAATACATGGAAAAAAGCTCGACATTACTGATCATTAGAGAAATGCAAATCAAAAACCACAAGATACCATCTCACGCCAATCAGAATGCCGATTATTAAAAAGTCAAGAAACGACAGATAGGTCAGTCATGGTGGCTCACACCTGTAATCCCAGCAGTTTGGGAGGCCAAGGTGGGAGGATCACTTGAGGTCAGGAGTTCGAGACCAACCTGGCCAACATGGTGAAACCCTGTCTCTACTAAAAACACAAAAATTAGCCAGTCACCATGGTGCGCACCTGTAATCCCAGCTACTCAGGAGGCTGAGGCAGGTGAATTGCTGGAAATTGGGAGGCAGAGGTTTCAGTGAGCCAAAATTTTGCCACTGCACTCCAGCCTGGGTGACAGAGTGAGACTGTCTCAATAAAATAAAATAAAGAAACAACAGCTACTGGAAAGGTTGTAAAGAAATAAGAATGCTTTTACACTGTTGGTGGGAATGTAAATTAGTTCAACCACTGTGGAAGACAATGTGGCAATTCCTCAAAGATTTAGAACCAGAAATATCATTTGACCCAGCAATTCATTACTGGGTATATACCCAAAGGAATATAAATCATTCTGTTATAAAGATATATGCACACGTGTGTTCATTGCAGCACTATTCACAATAGCAAAGACATAGAATCAACCCAAATGCCCATCAGTGATAGACTGGATAAAGAAAATGTAGTTACATATACACCATAGAATACTATGCAGCCATAAAAAGGAATGAGATCATGTCCTTTGCAGGGACATGGATGAGGCTGGAAGCCATTATCCTCAGCAAACTAATGCAGGAACAGAAAACCAAACACTGTATGTTCTCACTAGTAAATGGGCACTGAACAATGAGAACACATGGACACAGAGGGGAACACTCACTGGGACCTGTTGGGGGTAGGCAGGGGAACAGAGAACATTAGGCGAAAGAGCTAATGCATGCTGGGCTTAACACCTGGGTGATGAGCTGATGGGTGCAGCAAACTACCATGGCACTTGTTTACCTATGTAACAAACCTGCACATCCTGCACATGTACCCAGGAACTTAAATAAACAAATAAATAAAAGTAAAAAATAAATTAAGGGCCATGCCTTAGCTCCTGGTTTTTAACATGAGCTCAGCCCAGACTGAATCTCTTAGTCTCAATTCCAGGTCCCGTGGCAAAGACATTTTCAGGAGCCCATCCTGGGATGAAAACCATGACCAGGGAAGAGGCCACAGCAGAGACACAGAGCTGCTGAGACCACTCCTGCAGCCACAAGGACACAGCACACATCATTGGTGAGGGAGGGTTGGTGCCTGCCCCCGTGTGTACATGGCAGCCCACAGCTGAGGAGTCCCAGAGCTCTCACTTTTCTCCCCCAAATCCTCCCTGATCTGCGCATGAACTGACAAGTTTCAGCCAGAACTGATCTCTCAGCCAAGTCTGTACCCTAGCTAGAATGTGATGTTCAGAATGTGATCTCAACCTTTTTGGTTCACTCCTATGACCCCAGCATCTAGAACAATGCTTAGCCCCAGTGGTAGGCACTCAAATATTATACTTGGTACATCAAATAAGTTAACTCCTCCATTCATGGAAGGGATACAGGATGCCAGCTGCGGAGAGGAGAGCACAGGAGAAAGATGAGAACAGGATCTTAGAAAAATCTCTGGGGCATATTTGTAGGCCATGACTTACCCAGATCCTAGGAATGGGAATTATGGCCTAGGGAGCAGTAGGCAAGCCCTGATCATGGAGCCTGGCAGACACATTTATTCCTTCAATGAGGATTTATGGAACACTTACCAGATCCAAGTCCCGCTGTATTCTCAGCCACGCCAAGCCTAGCTTTCGTACTCTTCTGGCCCTGTGATTTCTGGCTGGCTTTTAGCCTCTCTGAGTCTCTGTTCATTCGTTGGTAAATAGATCCCAGGGTTCTTGAGAAGATTAAATGACATAATATAGAAAATACTTCCTTGTACAAAGTAACTGTCCTGTAAATATTTTTGCTGCCAAACATGGTTGTTGGGTTTTCTGCTCTTTTGTCGGGGGTGGGGAGATGGGGCTTAGGGTATAATTGTAACTGTGTAATTTACCACTGTCTGGGGTTTCTCCAGGAGATGGAATTGATCTGTATAATCATCATTTCTCATGCAAGAATAGCCCTGTCTTCACCTGGCTGCTTTTGTATGAAGGAAGTGCTTCTTTCCATAAGAAGGCACAGCTTCCGGTGTAGCAGCAGGAAGCTGTAGACACAGCATGGGTTGCCCGGGGATGATGGGGTTTGCACAGCACCATACACACCTTCCTACCCATGTGGGTTGCCCGGGGTGCTGGTGTCAGCCTGCTCAGAGGGCAGGTGAACCTAATGGCTGCCACGCAGTGAATTCACGGGGCTACCTTGTTCTATTTCCCTCTACCTCTTCTCTCCTGGCCTCTGTTCCCAGGTGTCTCAGGCACAGTTCCACCTCTTTGAATCTCCACTCAGGGCCATCCCAGTCCCTCGGGTTCATTGTAGGTGTCCATTCCCTGCTTCCCACTGTCCCTGGGATGCACCCCCCCACACACACTCTGATATGAGACAGGAGGTCTCCCAGGCCTCCTTCCCTGCAGAGACCCCCCTCCATCCCCCACCCAACTGTCCCCGTTTGGCCTCCTAGGCAGATAGTTTGTGCTTGAGGGTCATCCCTCTCCTCTGGATGCCCTGTCATTCACCTTCAGCATTTAGGAACGCAGCGGCAATCTAAACCAAATGGAGAAAGCGGAGACATTCTAAAAA